TGTGTGTGTGTGTGTGTGTGTGTATCCCTGTGTGTGTGTGTGTGTGTGTGCGTGTGTGTGTGTGTGTGTGTGTGTGTGTCCCTCAGACCAGAGCGGCAGTCGTCCTGCTCTGTCCGCCTCTCGCCTCCTGGAGAGAAGACACATCTTCCAGCAGAACCTGGTGGCCCTGGTCAAGCAGCACCACAGGGTGAGAAGTGTTCTTTCAACTCCACACTTAAGTGGAAGTACGGAAGTACTCCATTTTTTTGTACTTAAGTATTTCAAGCATAAGTATTTAAAAAATGGCTGCTTAAGTATCGAAAGTGCAAGTATAAGTAAAAGTACAAGTACTGTGTATATTAAAAAAGGCAGTCAAAAGTGTGATAGATATTGTTTATATTATTTCAAACATGTGAAAGGCCATACAGGTGTTTACAAAAACAGAAAACTACATCTGCATTAGCAACCAACAGCACTCCATCTGCTATTATTTATTATTCCAGAGTCAGAATCCTGAGCTGAGCCTTTATGCTAGCATGTAGCACACAGCTAGCCAGCTAGGTTAGCTTTAGCTAACGTTATCATACAGCTAGCCAGCTAGGTTAGCTTTAGCTAACGTTATCATACAGCTAGCCAGTTAGGTTAGCTTTAGCTAACGATATCATACAGCTAGCCAGCTAGGTTAGCTTTAGCTAACGTTAGCTGCTAGTGAACAAGGAGAACTGAACTAGCGCTTATTTACTAGCTTATATGTCATTGTATTATTTAACTTGCCTTGATCTTCAGATTAGCTGGGAATTTTTGAAGGCCATGATTTCTCAATATTTTGGGAGGCTTTTTTTTAAATAGGCTATCGCCCAATGAGGAGCCAGCTTCCCAAACCCTGACAGAGCTATCTATCATCTTTACATTTCAGTAACGAGTAACGATTCAGCCCATGAAAAATCGATCGGAGTAAAAGTATTAAATTAATCAAAAATACGTAGGGGAGTAAAAGTAAAAGTAGGGGAAAAAATATCTACTCCAATAAAGTCCAGATACTGCATTTTGGTACTTGCAGTGGGGTAAATAAGTATTTGAGCCCTTGCTGATTTTGCAGGTTTGCCCACTGACAAAGAATGCAACGATCTATAACTTTAATCATATGTACCCTTCTCTGTGTGCAGGCCTTCCTGTCCACGCTGGCCCCCCCCGTGTCCGTTCCAGACGACAAACTGACCCGCTGGCACCCCCGATTTAACGTGGACAGCGTGCCAAACGTCCAGGCCGGGCCCCTGCCCCAGGTCCCCCAGGGGGAGAAGCTGGTCACGGCCCAGGAGGTGCTGGACAAAGCCCGCTCCCTCATCACGCCCAAGGTGCTGAAACAGTCCAGAAACAGCTATCCATCATTACGTTTACATATCAGTAACCAGTAACGATTCAGCCCGTGGAAAAATCGATCAGAGTAAAAGTATTGAAATAATCAAAAATATGTAGTGGAGTAAAAGTAGAAGTAGGGAAAAAATATCTACTCCAATAAAGTACAGATACTGATCTGTACAAAGTACAGATACTGCATTTTGACAGTCCAGAAACAGCCCAGAGAATCAGAATCAGAATAAGGTTTATTGCCAAGCAGGGATGGGGATGGTTAATATTTATTGATATGGATACCTTTATCGATACTCCTTATCGATCGAGTCTTTATCGATACCACTATCCATACTTTTCTGTTATTTGGTGGAAAGACGATGCGACAATATTTAGCAAATAAATAATTGTATTTTAAATTAAGTGTCATTTGTAATAAATGTTGGCATCAGTAGTTTAATTATATATTCTAAAATAATTAGAGCAATATACAACTGTATTACTCATGTTTCTCGCCCAAAACTCAATTTCCCTTTTCTTTACGTTACACTTGAACGCATCATGATAACCTAATTGTGGTTTTACTGAGCCAATCTGAACACATCATCACACAGCACGTCTGAAACTTTATTTACTTTTCAAGCTAACTAGCTTGTATGCTGCCGATTACAACACGGATTTCACAATTACTATTGTAATAATAAAAAAACCACCAGACTCCATAGTGGTATCGATAAGCCCAAACGGTGTTGATTTTAGGGTTTTGAAAAAAGTGGAACCGGGTCCTTGATAGAACCGGGTTTTGATCCCCATCCCTATTGCCAAGTAGGTTTTTAGACTTACAAGGAATTTGCCTTGGTGTTTAGTGCACAACATAACACTTCTATGAGATGCAAGAAATAAAATGTAGAAATAAAAATATAGGACGGAAATGATAAAACTGAAAAATACAATCTTTAAAAATATACAGTGGGGGAAATAAGTATGTGACCCCTTGCTGATTTAGCAGGTTTGCCCACTTACAAAGAATGCTTATTTTTCCTCATCAGATGGTTATCAATTTTTATAAATTCATATGATGTGATTTTCTGGAATTTTCTTTGGGATTCTGTCTTTCACTGTTAGAATGTACATATGATTAAAGTTATAGATCGTTGCATTTGGGTGCTCCTGTATGTGCAGATGGAGAAGGCTCTGGAGTCCGTGGCCCTGAAGATGGAGCCCACAGAGAGCAGCGGGTCCAGCTGCCCACCGCCCGCCCCCCCCCACCCCCCCGCCTCCCTCAGGGGGGTGCCCCAGGCCCTGTTGGACCGGGTGAGTGCAGAGGGGGGGTCACTTTTGTCACTGTCTCACCTGCCTTAGCTCAGTGTTTTTCAACCACTAGTGTGCCGTTAGTGATGGTCAGGTGTAGAAAATCATCCTATTTCACCTAATTGGTCTAAAAAGACTTTTTTGATAAGGAATTAATTATCTGCAAATAATATTCCATTTGTGAGTGTGTGTGCTGTTCTAGTGACTGGTGGAGTAATCATGTAATAATTCATTATTACTAGATTTTGTATTTAATTTTGTATATTGAAGTGGACGTGTTAAGTCCAATTTGAAAGAAGAAATATAGAATATGATAAAAATACATTTTTGTGTTCATTTAATTCCTATTCAACACACTTAAGATAACAATAAAATAAGAATAACTATAGTGTTACTATAGGCGGCTACAGATTTGTTTGACATTTTTGGTTGGTGGTGTGCCTCGAGATTATTCTTTGAAAAAATGTACCTTGGCTCAAAAAAGGTTGAAAAACACTGCCTTAGCTTATCCCTCTCCTCACGTCTACGGATGGGGATGGAAACCAGGTTCTATCAAGGACCCGGTTCCACTTTTTTCAAAACCCAAAAATCAACACCGTTTGGGCTTATCGATACCACTATGGAGTCTGGTGGTTTTTTTTATTATTACAATAGTAATTGTGAAATCCGTGTTGTAATCGGCAGCATACAAGCTAGTTAGCTTGAAAAGTAAAATAAAGTTTCAGACGTGCTGCGTGATGATGTGTTCAGATTGGCTCAGTAAAACCACAATTAGGTTATCATGATGCGTTCAAGTGTAACGTTAAGAAAAGGAAAATTAAGTTTTTGGCGAGAAACATGAGTAATACAGTTGTATATTGCTCTAATTATTTTAGAATATATAATTAAACTACCTATTCCAACATTTATTAAAAAATACATTTAATTTAAAATACAACTATTTATTTGCTAGATATTGTCACATCGTCTTTCCACCAAATAACAGAAAAGTATAGTGGTATCGATAAAGACTCGGATCGATAAGGAGTATCGATATCAATAAATATTAACCATCCCCATCCAGATCCGGGCCAAAGAGGCGCAGAAGCTGCAGGCGGCCATGACCCGGAGCCCCGCCCAGGAGGAGCGTCTGCTGATGCTGTCCCGGCTGGGGGAGCTGGCCCGGATCCTGCGCAGCGTGTTTGTAGCAGAGAAGAAGGCGGCCCTGACCATGGAGGTGGCCTGTAACCGCATGGTGGCCAGCTACAGGTCTGCCCTCAGCACAGGTGGGTTCAGACACACCCCCCCCCCTCACCACCACCACCATCACACAGAGGTCATCACTGGGGTTGTCAAAAGTATCGATACTCTGATTTATTTATGTATTTATTTACGTTGTTTATGATCATTAACAAGACGTTAGCCTTGCTAGCTGCGGCTAATGGTTAATAATAATAATATTTCTTTATTTTATTATTTTATTTTTAATGTAAATATCACCACCACCACCATAACACAAATATAATTATAATATAATATAATATAAGAGCTGCCTCTTATAATATAAGTCCTGTTTAAAAACCCATTTATTCAACATGGCTTTTAACATTTTAACCTTAGGTTGAGGCAGAGCACCTTTTTACCTTTTTTCAATTTATTTTTTTTAATTTATTTTTACATTAAAATCACATATGCGTGCTTTTTAAGTACAGCACTTTGGCAACCTTGGTTATTTTAAATGTGCTATATAAATAAAGTTTGACTTGACTTGACTTGACAAAGGTCATCACTGGGGTTGTCAAAAGTATCGATACTCTGATTTATTTATGTATTTATTTACGTTGTTTATGATCATTAACAAGACGTTAGCCTTGAACTGCTAGCTGCGGCTAATGGCTAATAATAACACGCCAACATTAATCAAGTACATATCCAACTCCCCCACATCCAAGTCGGCCATTTTGATTAGGTCACCAATAGGAAGATCCCAGGCAAGAAAATCCTAATTGCTTCATGGCAATATAGACATTAATTTAAAAATAGTGAAATGAATCTTTCAAACACTTAATTAAACTCTATCCATATTATGTAGGGCTGTCAAAATAACGCGTTAATTTCGATTAATTAATTTTAGAAAAAATAACGGATTAAAAAAAATAACGCAAATTAATCAATGTCGTATTGACCTTTGACCCGGAACCGTTCTCGTAAGTCACCATTAGACCAGAGACGGTTGAATCTTTGATTAGACTCTAAAATGAAAGAGGGAGACGAGAACGCGCTGCCTGGGTCATTGATTTAATAATTTATTTATAAAAAACGCCCTGACGGAAGTGTTGACAAAAGTAAAGTCATCTGCAATCTGCAAATTCGCTTACCACCGGAGTGCGTCAACTCTTAAGTACCACATCAGTGCAAAGCATCCAGGAGTTAACCCGCAGGTAGGACCACGACCCAGCAGGTCCTCTAGCAGTCAACCTCATCATCAAACCACACTGGAGCCAACACCGAAACGGAAACTAAGCAAATCTGCAATTCCCTTGCTAAATGGATCGCAAAGTCTTTCAGACCGGTTTCATTCGAGTCGTTTGCGTTAGCGATGCCAAAAACAGAGACCAGGCTTTACGCCGATGCCTGCGCCCAGAAGTTTTAGTCTGTGGCGGAGGCATGGGGAGTTTAACCAAAGATCACCACAGTCGGCACACACAACGCCCCAAACATGACCGCTGCAGCGAGAAAGCTTCCATATGAGCACACGTTCATTTGTTTTCATTCTGCCCCCTACGTTACTCAGTGCCACATATGCCACAACGACACGTTAAACGTCTGAAGGCATGACATTTAATGTATCTAATGCTGATTATTAATTTTATCATTTTAAATGAAATATTTCAAATACTTTCACTGAAAAAATTATATGCGATTAATTTAGATTAATTAATTACAGAGTATGTAATTAATTAGATTAATTTTTTTAATCGATTGACAGCCCTAATATTATGTTAAAATAGTGGATGTTAAATAGGTTTGTACAATAAGTCCAAACAAGTTTAACCAAAAAATATTTATTTCTCACAATTATGAAGGATTAGGGTTAGGATTAGGGTCATTAATGTGGGCCACCATAACATCAGTAACAGGTCAGTTTGAAATGAAAGACACAATTCAGTTAAATTTTGGGGTCTTTGTTTTTATCCTTGTGGTATCCAAAATGGTATCGAGTATCGAGTATTTTCCTGAGTATCCGTATCCAGTTGAACATTGGCTGGAGGTTTGGGGTTATCGGTGTGAGATGCTAACCTGCTGCTCTTTATCCACTAACAGGAGAAATGGAGAGACACGTCCGGCTGCTGGGGGAGGTGGCTGCTGATTGGCTGAGCATCCTCCCCATCAGGAAGGACGTCTACCTGAAGCTGAACAAGAAGGTGGAGCTCAGCCTGGTTCTGGACAAACTGAGCAGCCGAATCAGAGAGGAGAACCGGACCTCCTGCTGAGCTGCATTTGACTGATTTTTTTCTTTGGCAGAATATGCGAGTGAACTGGCCTCTGGTTCTTTAGGAATCACTGTTCAATGGTGATCAATGTTTGCATTTTAAACATTTAGTTGTTTTTTTTTATCAGAGACACACTGCCCTTTAGTTTTGTGAATAAACAGAGGTGTGTTACCACTGACGCTGAGCTTGTTTCTGTCACGGGTTGGCCTTTAAAAAGCCCTGGTCTGATTAAGAGGTGTTACCCATCATCCATGTGCTGGGCCCTGAAAACACTGCACTGCCAAAAGGAATCGAGATCCGGCCACCCCTAACCCTACATGCTACCAGCTACTGGTCAGTCTGAGGTTTTCTCCTGAATCTCCATGCTGGACAATAAAACCATTACAGATGATCCAGAAAGTCTCAGTTCCCTCCTCTGTTCTCTGAGCTTCACTGGTTACCCCCGGTTACCCCCATCTGGTCCCTGATGCCTACAGAGGTCTTCAGGGTCCGTCTCCCTGAACCCTCTCAGAGGTCCTATCTGGTCCCTCTGGTCATCAGTGGACTGTGGTCCAGCAGAGCTGCTCCACGTTAAGACAATCAGACTGTTTTCAGCTGTTGGTCCAAGATGGAGGAAGGAGCTACAGCAGGTCCCTGTCTGTCTCCAGAAACTCCTCCAGGACCCCCCCTCTCCACAGAGCAGCTCCTATCCTAACTTCTCCAGACCTCTGGACCCTCTCCTCCTCTTTCTGGGCTTCCCTCTATCTCCTCCTGTCTCAAATGACTCTGACTGGGGGTTTTCCTTTAGAGAGCTGATTGTCATATTGATGAGAACTGGAACATTGGGTCTGCTTTGGATGAAAGCCTCTAAATGCAGAAACAGAAAAAAGTAGGGTGACCATGTTCTGATTTCCAAAAAGAGGACAGTCTGCCTCCAGACGGATCCAGACAGGTTTCTCAGATGTTCATGAACATGCTTTATTAGACTCATTTACATCCAGAATCTGCATATACCCCCTAACCGCACACACAATTTCAATCCCAATTGAAATTAAATATAAAACAGAAATCGGAACATTAATTCATTGTCTTTGTTCATGCCTTTAGTTGCACATTCAAACATGGGACACAGTAAATGAGGGGAAACATCTTAGCAGAATCAAACTTTATTTGACCCGACTGGCCCCGGGTATTGGATATCTGTGGGGATTCTCTGTAAACCGGTTGATGCACATGGCTCCTTCTGCTGTAAACGCGTAGAATTTGACACAGACTGGTCAGAATGGACCGCCTGGCCTTTATTATGGAATGAACGATATCAAAAGAAGGCTAAATATGAAGGGGAAATGAGCAGGACTCCTCCTGAGCAGCCGGTCAGCCCTGAGCCTGCTCAGTGCTGACTTTATCTAGCTCTAAAAACCTCAACACGGGGACTGGTCTGAGGAGGGATCCCTGTGGGTCCAGTACTCAGTACTGGACCAGGGAGAAGACTTTGAGTGGACTCAGGCGCTCGCTGCCCTTCAGCTCCGGGAGCTCGATGACCACCATGCAGCCCAGGACCTGAGCCTGCTGCCCCCTCATCAGCTCACAGGCCGCCTGCAGGGTGCCTGCAACACACACACACACACACACAAACACACACACACGTTCTTGTAAGTACCTCAGACTGAGGACCAAGTGAAAGGACTCACAAACTGAGGACCAGTAGTTCTGAGCATCTTAGAAAGATTGAGTTTTCAAATGTTCTCACTAGGTCACACACACACAGACACACACACACTCACACACACACACATATATACACGCACACACAATAAAGTAGGACCAGGAAAATGTCCCCACTTTCCAAAAAAGACCTCACTTTGTTGGTTAAAAACTAGTTATGGTACTCACTCTGTTGAAGAAACAAGGACACACACACACACACACACACCTCACCGGGTCAGGCTCCTGCCCACAACCAACCCCTCACCCCCCCCGCCCCGAGCCCGAACGGCTGTCCTCACCTCCTGTGGCCAGCAGGTCATCGATGAGCAGCACCCTCTGCCCTGGAGCCACCGCGTCCTCCTGGACCTCCACCTCCGCCTGCAGGGGGGGGGGGGGCACACTGTGAGCTGACCCCCAGGGGACCCCCTTTCCTTTAACGCATTGACTGTGCCAGAGTTTTTTGAGCATTTTGACTGATTTTTCTAGAGCCACAGAATAGTTTGTGCTATGACTATGTAAACACCGAACACACCAAAAGAAAGAGTAGACTCTCTTCTTTCATCAGGAAAAAAAATGTGTTTCTACCTTATTCCGTTCTTCCTGGACTTGCGTCTCACCGGCGACATGTTCTCTCATAGAACCGTTCCCTTTTTCTTATTTGCCTACAGTCTATGCTCATCTCCCATCAAAAGTGGCACTGCCCCCTAGAGGCTCAATTTGTTACTACATACTCTGTCTAGAAGCCCATATTTACGCACAAGCTTTAGCAGATCGTCCCCCAGACACTCTCGTTAAAAACATAAAAGACCTCTATAGACGTCTTTGGCAGCCAATGAGTTAAAGGCCCCTCTTGATCACATCAAATCTCAGCTGTATTTCTAAGGTTGATGAGAAATAGCTCAGCTCTCCTCTGCTGTGGACTCTGGCTGAACAAGAACAGGGTGGAGGGCACAGCTTTGTTGGGGGGGGGGGGGGGGGGCTTTTGTCCTGTGCCGTCTCCTTTCTGAAGCTCTTGGGTCTCAGAAGCGTTCTGGAAATACTTCTTTATGTGCTCTACAGGTGCGTTACAACATCCCCAGAAGACATATGTGGGGCTTATCGATACCACTATGGAGTCTGGTGGTTTTTTTATTATTAC